AGGAAAGGAAGCGGAGCAAGCCAAAGGAGCAATAGAAGCAGCAGGAGGAGCAGGAGGAGGAAGGAGAAGGACAAGGAGAAGGAAGAGAAGGAGAACAAGAAGAAAGAAGGAAAAAGAAGAAGAGCTGGGCATTTTATACCCATCCCAACTGAAACTCAGATATCCTGCATCATTCAGTGTTGCACGCATCTGGACAGTGATCTGTGTGGCCAATTCAGAGAGGGAAGAGGAGGCAGGGGGTCATGCGAGAAGATCCTTCATTCAGTACTTTGACTTGTGCCGCACACAAGTAGCTCAAGGATCTTCTTTTCTATGATTGGGAAGTCATGGCGATACCTTCTGTTTCTGTGCCATTGCATTATAAACAATCGGCAACAAGATTAATCGAAGGTGTCCTTGCGGAGTGTTCTCTTCACCAAGAGCCTGCAAAAAACACCAAACAGGGGACAAACACTGAGACACGTCTGCCAGATGATTACACTGCAACAAAACTTCCCACGCTAAGATGGAGAGAAGTTCAGGAAGATAGTCCAGTTCAATGAATGTGTCTCACCATGATGATCGCTGTTCTATGACCGCGTTCAGATAGACAGGTCCAGGGCATCCATCAAAATTGGAGCGATACAGAGAAGATTGGCATGTCCCCTGTGCAAGGATGATACTCATAAATAGAGAAGAAGAAAACAATTATGATAGACAGAATTGCCAAATATCCTACTCAAATCGTATTTCCTCCTTGTTCCATAGACAGAAAAAAGGACTGTATGACATGCATAGCATTAAATACCCAGTTTCTCCTTCTCTAGCCCATCCCTTTTCCAGGTTAGTTCTCAGGCAATCTGTTACAGTGATAAGCTCTGCACGATCCTGACCTGTTTCCAGACACTATTTTAGTATTTTCTTAAACTCCAAGATATTTCTGGCAGACTTACACCCTCTGTTAAACTGCCAGTACAGGGCCCCAACTACCAGGCCACAATTGCTGGCAGCACCAGCCAAAATGGGAAAAAAGTGTGCCTGAAGGTTCGGAAAAGCTTGGCGCGCAGTAAGGCGCCTGCAGGCCCGAGCATACTGGTGGTTTTAAACACCACTGCCTTTCCAAGCTGTAGTCCCATTCTGGAAAATGACCTCAACCACAAAGTTTGGGGGTCCGGGCGAGGGTTGGCAAAAACAAAACATTTGGGCCTTGTGGGCCCGATCGGAGAACAAAAAGAAAAAAAAACAGAAACTGCAGAGTTGAAAGGAAGGAGGGTAAGCCATGAAGGAAGTGTGCTCACAGCAGTGCCTCCATGAATGTAGCTGCCCAGAATCATCGATAGTTTCATTTTTTGTTTTCTGTCTTTTTTATTTTTTTCGTCTAAGTTAGTTTTAGTGCACTGGCGATGAGGCAGGGCGCTTTCCACGGACAACACGCACTTGCAACCAGCGGTGCACTCTCACATGTACTCAAGATTCTGTATCCAGCTGCTTTTACGTCCAAAGAGTCCTTGCTGTTTTCGCTTCTTTTTTTTTTCGTACAGCTGTGTGTGCTGAGGGGTGTAACGCCCGTTGGGAGGGCATATTCTCACTTGTGCCCAGTGTTCTGTATCCAGCTGCTTTCATGTCCAAAGAGTTGTTGCTTTTTTTCCTTCTTTTCTTTGTTCCTATTGCCGTGTTTTGCTGAGGGCAGTAATGCCCTTCGGCAGCCTCTCAAGTGTACCCAATGTTCTGGGGCGAGGTCCCATTAGCAGTCTAAGGAGTGTCGCCGATCCAGTGCGACACTGAGTGGCAGCGGGCTGACAAGTTCATTACGAATTTCTGGGCTGAAAAAACAGGAGAAGGCAAAAGGAAAAAAAGAAAAACAGAGATCCTACCTGGTGGTGGTTGCAACAACAGTTAACAAAGTAACCGCCACATTTCTGGAATAAACCCGACTTCTGTCAGCAGTGATCCTGACACCCTCCATATACTCCGTGATTGAAGGAGGGATCCACCCAATGAGATAATTGCACAACAACAAGTAAAATACTGAAAATCTCCTATCCAGTGGGCCTAACCCACCCTCTTTTGGGGTTGGCCACACCCCCAACGATTGAAAAGATTCTGGTGGGAAGCTTTCCGTGCACGGGCATGCCCAGTGTTAAGGAGAGGAGGAGGGGAACAAAGATCTCCTTACTTTTTCGGGTAATACATGTAAAATACTGACCGTGGGATCACAAGTACTGCACGGCAGGATTTGGGCCACTCAACTGGCCCCACAAACTCGTTTCTATCCTATCCCATTGCTAGTGGGACCTCGCCCCTGTATATGTCTTTGCTTTAGAGAATACAATGGGACCCAGGCTCTGCAAAACTCGGAGCGCAGTGAAATTCAGGGTCGGCAAAACAGGCTCGGAGGTAGTGGTGGTTTAAGACCCTGGGCTGCACTAGCTGTACACCATCTGCCCAGCAAAACACCAGCCACCTGGTCAAAAACAGAGTTCATCATTTGCATCACACGGCGCTTGTGCCAGGGCAGGCAAGACGAGGTGATGAGGGGTGATCAGGGTGATAGCAGAGCGTGCAAACAAGAATAGCCTTGAATCCCAACATTCACATGCCAAACTCGTATCCACCAGTTTCTCTCTCTCTCTCTCTCTCTCCCCTCCCCCCACACACACAAAAAAAAAAAACCACACTGCCCCAAACACCCTGCTCATCCTTCCCAAAAGCTATCCCCATGAAAGGATGATGCCTAAGGCATTCAGGTTCCAATCTTCGAAGAAACACTGGATTGCAGGACCATGATGTAGCTTTCCTTGCGCAAGGATAACAATAATGCGGGCCCTCAATCAAATTGTGCCACCCTTCCTCATTGACCACAGACCTTGACTTATATAAAAAAATGGCTGCCTCCTTCCCAGCCTCCAGATAAGCTTGGTCTCTGTGTCTAAGTCGACAACGAACTTCTCCTCCACCCTACCCCCCAGGCATTGTGCCTTCAGTTCAATCCTGCTAGCTACAGTGGCAGCATTGCAGTGAATCTCCCTGCCTGTTGCTCCTGTTGGGAGTGGTGGAACTGCTTCCCTGTCTATCACAGTAAAAGTACTAATCTACCCAAACTTCGACTTTACTTCTGACCCGAGGCCTCTGTCACGATTTCCATTCTGCCAACCCATTTGCCACATCTTCGCAACAAGAAACAGAGGAGGAAATCAGATCCCGCACTCAAAATGCCTGGAAGATCATGAAACAAGAATTCCATGCTGAAAAAGATGCCGCCCTTAAGGAGACTATTAGAGAGGCGTATCGTCAGATCTGGCAGGATCCTCACCATGCCTTTTCGAAGGTCCAAGACGACCTTACCATACAATGGAAACCCTGGAGGGAAGGAGAGCTGGCCTGGCAAAGGAAACCACTGGGCAACTTTGCAGTCCCATTTCTCCCCACCAACTTTATGCTCGTCCCCTGAACTCTCACTGCATAATGACGTCCTCCCCTGTGTACAGGGGTCTATTCATTACTATCCCCTTCCCGTCCTACCCCGCTTGCTTCTCTGCCCCCTGTCAAGCTGTCCCTCTACCTTCCCCCAGCCCTTCCCACGACCCTGCCCCTCCGACAACCATTATCCTGCTGCATACACAAGGGTGGCCATGTGACTTCAAGACTATGGACTACGACAGTAACAGTTCACTGGACACAGGGGCCAACAGATCACAAGGACCAGGTGCTGCAGCTGGAAGGGGCCAAGAGATCAGCACATGTCGTCAGACATGGGATGCAGGAGGCACAGCAAAGCTCCGGCCACGGCACAGGCACCGGTTGGCCGCCCAGCAGCTATGGGACAGGCTACGTGGATGTAAGATACAAGGAGCCCCTATACTGGGCCAATGACATTCAGAGCCTTTTCGTGGCAACAGGATGAGCTGAGGGGTAGGGGGACTCGGGATAGCACAAGGGGTGTGATCGATTAAACGACGCGCTAGGATGCGGTAGGTCTCTGTTTTACAACGCATCGGGCTGAAGGGCATGGGAATAGGGGATAGAACAAGGGTTGTGTTTGACTAAGGATGACGTATGATGTGTTATGGCTCGGATTTATGATGTATTGGGACGCTGGACCCGGTTTCCAGCAGGTGAAGCTCCCCACCTATAGAATGGAGTCATCCAATACACGGGCCAGTAGAAGGGGTGTCTGCTCTTACCAGCATCCCTCCTACGCCCGGCAGTGATGTTTCAAAAAAAAAAAAAAAAAAAGACATTGAGAGGGTTGGCCACTGATGTTGGTACACCTTGTTTTTCTCTCGCAAAAAACATTGAGGCAGAAACAGAAGCAGATTTCCTTTCCTTTCCAGATTCCGCGAAGTTTCAGTTGCCTGTTTGTCCTTTCTTTTGCCCTGGTTTCAACTGCACACAGCCTGTGTGCAAACCACATGACTGGCTGTGTGCGAAGCAGATCTACAACACAGAACATGGGGCATGGAAGTAAAGAAGTGGAAGAAATCCAAGACAGGGCATGTGTGGGAATGAGAGAGAGGGCACGTTTTCATTCTTTTGGGACTCCCCAAAAGACTTTGCACGGCACAAACTCCAATCTCTCTCTCTCTCTCTCTCACACACACACACACACACACACACACACACACACACACACACACATACACACGCACGCACACACACACACACACACACACACACACACACACACACACACACACACACACATACATATTTTGTCACATAACTATGAACTAAAAGAGCGCACTTTGCGAAACAAACGGCAGAAGCAAAAAAATAAAAAACAAGACAAACATGAAGGGAAACGATTTCAATTTTCTCGTTCTCCTTTTAACTCCCCCTTCACCGTGCCTCTCACGTACAAGGCTCGCCACATTGATGAAGTTGAGGACGAGCTGCCCCCATCCCCATGTACCATAACGGTCCACTTGTACACTGTGAGAAAGAGGCAGAGTGAAGGGGGAGGCGATAAACACAGGGAGGAGAGATGGAGAGCAGACGAACAAAGAACGATAAAGGGAAAGTACGGAGTGTGGAGGCTCAAGAATGAGTCTGTCTTTGATGACAGAGAGGACATACATTGTAAGGATGAGGTGGATGAACACAGGGAAGACCTAGCAAAGCATTCTCAGTGCGACAATCGCCACAACGGCTGGCATTGAGCATGCCCACCATACACCCTCGACAAATGGCATGTTGATTGCAGGCCAAAATGAAGGAAGAACGGTCACCACAAAAGACCATGCATTCAGTATAGTGCCCATGGACGCAAAATGGACATATAGCGTCTGGATGCGGAGAGTGCCTGCAGTCAGGAACGGAGGGACAGTCCTGTGCACACATGGATGCATAAACCATGTTATTGTAGTGATTGTGACAGAGACGATGTCGGCTACAACCGAGTGTAACAATAGTTGTGGCTGTGCAAAGGAGAACGTCGCACAATG